TCAGCGTAGAGGAAGTGGAGCTTCAAAAGTAAAAGAGGATCCACCAACCCAGCACTACTTTCTCACTGGGAGCTTTTTTATCTCCAGTCAGCCAGCGAAAAAGTCTCCCCCACGGAGCGGGTATACCCTTTGACGCATCTTTGTGATCTCCCTTTCCCCGCTACCTTGAAACACACCCAACTCTCAAGGGCTCACGGCGAACCTTGGTCGCTGCATCTAAGCTCAAGTCTTGGCGTTGCCTGCGCCAGTGGAGTTTTTTTACATTTTTCTGACCCTTTCTGACTTTCTGCCCACGCTTTCCTGCTTTGGTGCTGGTTGCCCCCTCCAGACACACTACTTGCTAGAGACACGGCACAAACTGTCTCCCCCGCCGCCCCCCCCTTTACACTAAACATTCAGCATTGGCTGTGAGGGAGCTTTCTTTCCCTAGTGCTAGTCGTCGACATCTCTTGTGTTCAGCCCACCGCCCCTGATGATTATTCGCGCACACACTCCCTCACACACCACACAGACAACAAGTACTATGTGACATACGGTGTACGTACGCGTGTAGTCGGACTCCATACCTCTCTCTCTCCTGAGAGGGTATCCGTAGTTTTAGCCAGAGGATGCTTTTTCGACTCCATATGTCTTTTACTTCACTGTCTCTGCGGAAAACCCACATTGATTCCCTCCTTTTTTTTTATGATATTTTGTTTTATTTTATTTTATTATCGATTCTCTTGTTCCTTTCGGCTCCATCCTGTATGGCGAACCAAACATCACCGACACCTTTTATTAGATAGTACTAGAGTCATGATGTTATCGCAGCTTACGCACAGCCTATAGAATCCAATCCAAATAGGCAAGAATAAGAATGATTGCTACTATACTTTTCCGATGCCGGAGTTTCAGATGTTTCCCCTATCCCTCCCACTCCCCTGCTTTCGTTCAGATTAAGAGGGAGTCTTGGAGTTGGTTAATTTATCGTGATTAGTCATGGATCTTACTTTCGAAACAGATGTCGTTTAATTTCCAAGTCTAATTATCTTTTTCCTTCTTTCTTTTTAAGATTATTATAATGAGTAAACACTATTATAATGAGGATTATGATGTTCATGAAGACGATGGAATTTGCCCATGGGTAAAAATAGAAAATAAGCAATTGGGTTTTTTGGTTTTAATTTCCCGTGAAATTAGGGTGTTAGACTTTTTAGAGTACTGAGGGAAATGAGTTCTTTCCTATAATTCGAGATTATAGAGAGAGTGGGTGTGAGGATTGGAGGTGTGTAGAAAATAATATTCAATATGGATAAAAAATAATAAAATAAAATAAGCAAATATTTAGATAGTAAAATAACCACTTTCCCCTCTCTCTCACATAGAGGAGTAAAGAAAAAAAAGAGAGAAAAAGAAAAAAAAAATTCAAAACCACAAAACCAAAAAAACCAAAACCAGGGAAAGCCAAAAAAGACCCATCGAAACCTTGGGGGTCACCCGAGGAACTGGTTCCTATTTGGAGATTGAGAAAAGCCCACACTGACTTTGGGACTAAAAAAGCAATTAATATTATTTTCCTCGTTTTTCTGATTTAAAAAATAAAAAAAAGCAGAAAATAATATTTATTATTATTATTGTAAAATATATTTTTTTTTAACACTGGCGCCGTTTCGAAGCCTAAGCGGCCCAGAGTAACGATCTGCAACCGTCTCCGACGGGACGTCGTCAGTGGCACTAAAGCCCATCACCAACACGGCAACGACAGGGCTTCCCTTCGTCCCTGCGCTCCATCACTCATGCTGCGATCCTGTATTTGCTCATAAGCTTCGCCGATCCCCTTCGGGCCCTTCCCCAGACTGTCTTTCATTCTTCCTGTCTGTCGGGTTTCAGGGCCTTTCTTTTACTCTGTCTCTGGATCTATTTGTTCCTGGCTCCCTCCCGCCGAAAGATTATCACTATTTACTTCTACTTCTACCATCGACTCCCTTCCTTCTTCTCTCTACCTTTGCGCTGATCAGTCTCAATTGATCTTCACCCTTCCTACTCCCCTTTCTTCCATATCGTGCCCCTCACCGTACCTGTCAATCATACACTTCTCTTGTTCTACTTGGCTTCGATCATCCTGCCCTTGATCGTCCTTATCACCCACGTTGGTTTGAATTGCTGAGGGGATATTGTCCACGGCAACACCAATCGCGCAACAACAAAACAAGACCTGAGAGACTATCTCTGTGACCAAACTATTCTCCATGACTATGGTTATTGAAAACCAGAACCGCCAATACGGCGGTATGGGCTTTGACAGTGTTTACCACCACAACACGCCGCAGTTCACTGACCCGTGGACTGCTGCCCACACCACGTCGCATTCGACGCCTCCTGTCTACGCGACATCCATGGCATCCAACCCGATCCTGAACCACCCCAAACAGGAGGAAGTGAGCCGCCCATCCCCCCTCTCCATGCCCTACTCAAGCATCCCCGTCTCCGCACCTTCGATGGTCACCAGCAGCACATACTCGACTACGCCTGCGACCAGCTACCCAACACCAGAAGTGATGGGTCTGCACCACGATTTGCCTCGCACATCTTTCGAACAGACTCCTGCCTACACGACTGCTTCGTCCATGAGCAGTTTCGCGCCGGCCAGCTATGCGCCAATCAGCTACGCTCCCCTGCACCACCAGGATAGTCGCCGGATATCTCATGCGTAAGAGCCCCAGCCACATAACTTTTGCGCATCTTGGAATTTGGAACTGCGCTTACACTTTTCTCATTTATAGTGATCCCCGTGCCAGCCAATCGCAGCCTTCTTCGGCTCCTACATTCGGTGACGCCCTTGACGCCAGTCGCGGAATGGTCGCGCTCAGCCAGGACTTGACTCCTCGTAACATTTACGCTCCTCGCAACGGCCGGGGCTCTGGAGATTCATATGGATTCCCTTCTGCACACTCTTCAGGTTCTTCGATCTCCTCCGGGGGCAGCTACCCATACTACAGCGCTTCAGTCGCATCGGTCGAGTCTTCTGTGACTGACTACAGCTCCACGACTTCGGAGTCCTACGAGAACGGACACCTGTCGCGGACTCTTCCTCGCCCATCGAACCTCCTGACTGGTAGCGCTCCCCCGGGACCCCAGTCCATGATGAGCCAGTTCAGTTCGAAAATGCCCTCCAACACTCAGAAGAAGCACAAGTGCAAGGTGTGCGACAAGCGCTTCACCCGCCCATCGTCTTTGCAGACCCACATGTACAGTCACACTGGTGAAAAGCGTAAGTTCTGACAAAACCCGTTGTGGCACGCAAGCGATACTAATATTTTTGGATATAGCTTTTGCCTGTGATGTAGAGGGCTGCGGTCGACACTTTTCCGTTGTTTCCAACCTTCGTCGGCACAAGAAGGTTCACAAGGGCGAGAAGGAAGGCGCCTCGGGTGACGAAGAATAAACAAATCTCGTACTCGCTCGACCTTCTTTTCTACTGCCCTTCCCTTGAGCCTTGTCCTCGCGCAAAGCAACGAAGAGTTTTGGATCGAGATACTCGACGGACTGCGCTGCGCAACCTTATTTTCTTTTCGGAATGGGTTTTCCCCTTGTACAACAACTTCAATTTTCGTGACTTCTCTTCTTTTATGTCTCCGCGACAACCGGAGAATTGATACCCCTTTTCATTTTTCGCTTTTCATTTTATCATGGATCGACAGGACACGGCACAAGGGCAACGGGAATTCGCAATGATGTCTCTTTATTCCCCACGTTATGACCATAGAGGTACTGGTTGTTTTCCGGATGGTGATTCTACTTCTTTCTCTCGCTTAGACTAGGGTTTTGGTTTTTTCTTTTCGTTTGACATGAATCTTCAGATACCAACTGGGTTGTGACATGTTTTGACTTCTTTTCTGCGTTTCCGAGGCATCGCTTCTTTGGGGTCCGGAAAATATACGCAGCGGGCAATCGTTTTCTTTTCTTTGTCCCTTTTTTTTTAGAGCATTTCTTTTCTTTGCTTTCTAGGGGTGATGCTATGACCAGTAGCTATTTGGCTCGGGTTTTTACATATCGGGTGAAATTGAACGTGAAGGAACTGATACCCGTTGCAATTGAGCGGAGCATATATGGAATGGAAAGTTGAGGATTCTTGTTTGGTTTGGATTTCAGCATAGACACGATGTGTCATCTACGGTCGCTACTACTATACCATATTATTGTCTAATACAGATTCGATCTGAAACCAGGATTTTTCACATCCCTATAAATATTTGTTAGATGTATGTACACTTAGATACCACGAACAAAGTTCAAATCCAATAGAAGAGAAAGGAACCCGAGAAAGCATGATGATCCACATACTTGGTCTTCTGTAAACCAAACTTACACGAGTCAGCATACCAACTGTATTGTACTCCGTACTCCGGAGTACAATGATTCATGTCAAGAATGCATGCCCATTACAAGAAATGTCAGCCACCGCTGATACTGAACTAGCATGTCGTGAATAGACTTGACATACGGAGTACTGCACACACTTCCTCCATAACAAACTAACTAGACCAGAAATGCTCACATACTCACGATTCACTAAGCCTTTTAAAAAAATCTTTCTAGTACGGATACGTACGGTTAATTTGTACTTCAGTTAGAGGTTCTGCTTCTGGTGGATATGTACATGTTTGTTTGGAATATTAAGATGTAGACTAGACTATAAAGATCGAATGGTGTTCGTGGAAGTTGGATTGTATTCGTCTATGTACATTCATAGTGATCTTATGACTTGACTTCTAGATGGCATAGACAAATACCTTGACACAACGAGACAGACATCCTCCAAACAAGCACACAAGCATATCTTATCACCACGTCCATACAACAGCCACTCACACAACCTCAAAGCCCACCAATGTATACCAAGAGAGCTCATAAACCAAACACGAAGAAAACCCTTAACTCTTAAAAACCCCCTTCAACCTTGAGGGCAGGTAGGTATACACACCCCAAACAAAGGATAAAAAGAAAAAGAAAAAAAGACATGCTCCTTGAGGGAGTCGAACCCTCGACTTCAGCTAGGCATGCGGAATCCGTACAACGGTGTTGCCACATAAGAGCCACGCCATAACCACTAGGCCAAAGGAGCCGCATCTTACCCAGTGGCAAATCTTGTATGGCTTGTGTTTTCATTGTTTTGCTTTTTAGCTAGGTGAGGTGTGTTGGATTGGGTGGTTGTTTACTTACTTTGGTGTTCTTGGTTGTGTGTGCTTGTAGGATTGGGATTGTGGTTTGTTGGGGTTAATTTGGTAGAGAGGGGTTTTGGGGTATGGTTGTTTTGGGTTGCGGGATATGGAGTCGTTTGGGGTATGGGGAATTGGGTTTTGGATCGTGCTGTTTTTCTAGGGATGGTTTGTTGAGTTGTACAGAGGGTGTTGAACTTGATTGATTTGTTGAATGTGGAGTTGTGATGTCTGTATATTGTGTATCCTGTATCCATATGCCTTCGGCTTCATGCTTGACGGAGTCTATGTGGCGGTTGTATGTTTGTTCTTGGATGGACTCGGTTTGGACGGCTCAAACCAAGCAACAGATAATTACTGCATCTCCATAGTCCGAGTAGCTGGGGTATTATTAGATGTATCCTCAGACGAGTCACCACTCTGACCATGCAGCCCCAAAACAGCCACCTTATGCTCCTCCGAAAGATGATGAGCACCAACAAAGAACCCAGCAACAAGACTCACCCCCGCAAAAGCAACATACTAACGACACAATCAGCAAGCATCACCCATGCAGAAGAAGAGAGAAACAAACCATAATCCACGTAGTCCGCAACGAACCAAACACCGCCTGCCGAACCGCCTCTCTCTGATCCGCCGGAAGCGTCCCAATCAGCTGTATGTTAGCCGTGACATTCGCGCCACCAAACTGACCCGCGAGTTCACTACCCAGAGATTGCACGAGGTTAGGACCTTCCTTCACCATCTGGTTCTGGAATACGACTCCCCCGATAACCACCGAGATCGCTGTCGACATAGTTCGCACGAACCCGATTGTAGCGGTAGCTGTTGCGGTATTCTCGACGCCAACAATTGCCTGCAGAGCGAGCAGTGGCCCTTCGAAGTTCATGCCTATCCCTAGACCTGAGATAATCTGGAATCCGATGATCTTGCCCCAGTTGGCTGTTGCTTCGAGGTTGATGAGGAGTCCCACTCCGAGGGTTAAGAGGCTAAGACCGAACCACATCGGGGGGATATATTGGCCTGTTTTCTGGATGAAAAGGCCCGTGAAGGCTCCTGAAAATGTGCAAGCGATGACGAAGGCTAAGAGATAGACGCCGGACATGATTGGGCTGGCGCCGAGAACGGCTTGGAAGTATAGTGGTAGGTAGTATGCCTCGCCCATGAAGATGAATCCGTGACAGAAGCAGACGACGAAGGCAGCGATGCCGGATCGGTGCTGGAAGAGGATTAGTGGTATCACTGGGTATTTGGCGAGTTTCCATTCGTTTAGCACGAAGAGACTCAGGACTGCTATGCTGAATACGATGAGGCAGATGACTGTTGCTGAGTCCCAGGGGTGCGTGACGCCGCCGAAGTCTAGGGCGAGGAGGAGCATGATGCTGCTGCCGATTACGAATAGTGAGCCTATCCAGTCGACGGCCTTGAGACCGTCCCAGATTGGTGTGTGGGGGTTGTCGAGCTTGAGGGCTAACCATAACAATAGGAATGCAAGACCGGTGATTGGTACTGGGGTAGCAAACGTGATCAATTAGCGATCTGTCCGACATGATGCTGGTGATGGATAGGTAGAGAATGCCATACAGTTGATCCAAAAGCACCACCGCCAGCTGTTATGTGTCCATTGATTAGTGTGTTAAGAAGCTGATTGAGATCTCCAAGCAGTACTCACGTCGCTTTCTCCGACAGCACGCCGCCTAAGATAGGACCAATTCCGCTAGCTAAAGCCCAATCTACGGACAGAAGACCAAAATATAGGGCTCGATCTCTGAGAGAGAATAAGTCACAGACACAGATATTGACCAACGTCATCAGCGCTGCTGCACCCAGGCCTTGCATAACACGACCAAACAGAAACAATGCCATCGTATTGGCTACAGAACAGATCAAACTTCCCGCAAAGAAGATTGCATTTCCACAAAGCAGAAGCGGCTTTCTTCCCCAAATATCGGACAGCTTCCCCCACGAGGGAACGGAAGCTGTGTTGGCCAATATGTAGGCACTGCCGATCCAAGTGTACCCTGAAGCTGAATGGAAATGACCAGCAATAGAAGGTAGAGAGGTAGTGACGATAGTGGCATCTAACGCGGCCACGAATGTTCCGGCGCAAAGACATGACATGACAATAGAAATCTGAAGTAGACTGCGACTAGAGGTATCTGCTGTAGCTTGAGGCTGGCTTGATGCCATTGTGGGTGGCTGGGCAGTTTCTTTCGCCATGACCATTATACTCTGTTGTTGAAGTAGTTCGGTCAGCTAGTTATTGTCGCAGCGTCATTGAAAGACAAATATGGACTTCCGCTGGCTCTTTAGACTTCAGTTGCCCGTGCAGTTTTGGTTTGTTCTGTCCCCCACAGTTGAAATGTTTTATATTTAGAGCAACAAATCGCACCAGTAAGCAGGCGCCGATTCTCAGAGTTGCTTGTCTCTCCGACAGCAGCCGAGATGCAGTGTAAACCAGATGTTGGCTCAAAGCTGTGTACTCGTACGGAGAGGAGATATCTGGCTCTTCCGCTGACCCTGTAGAATGTCTCTAATTAGGGCTCTATCTTGGACAATGATATATGAAAATTGAAAAGGGGATCATATATGGAGTAATGATGGTGTTGCGTGGTTTTCTGACAAAGGCAGGCCGTTTTCGTTTTCGTTTTCGTATCCGTTGTCGTGTTGCATCTTGTCCATGACTACAGTCTCACCATCGACTACACTCACATCAGTTTCCTGACCACGAAAACAAGGCAGGATTTGGTATCAGTAGATTGTTCTTCTGACACTCATAGCTGAATACGCGTGATTGTGGTAAGATACTCAGCCCATCGAGCGTGGTGTATCTTTCCTGGGCTTCTGCATGGCAACACGTCCGGTACGGGCGGTGTTTACATAGTGCTCAAGATGCCACCTCGACGGTCGCACAAGAAAACGCGAAATGGTTGCGATCAATGTAAGGAGAGGAGAGGAAAGGTACGAATTACCTATGTCCCGGCAATGCCCTGGTGTCTCTTAATATCGAACACTTCCAAGATAACCGGTGGGTCCCATGACCCTTCACACATAACCTAACCTGTCCGAACTAGTGCGACGAGAAACATCCGATATGCTCCAATTGCACCTCTCGGGAGCTCACTTGTACATATTTGAAGATCCCTATAGTCTCGGCTCCGGGACGCACCGCTCAGACAGTGACCGATCGCTCCCTAGACCCACCACACCAGGAACAATCGCAGCCCAAGAACCAGGACAAGCAACCTATCAGTTCCGTAGTATCTGCCGAGCCAAGCTTTGTCCTTCGTGATCTCGAACTCATGCACAAGTTCTCGACCGACACTTTCCGATGTCTATGTAAGACCAGTCCGACATGGATGACTGGCAGGTCCTCATCCCCCAACAAGCATCTAAGCATACTTTCTTACTCCATGACATCCTCGCACTGGCTGCCCTGCATATAGCAGCCACAGCGACAGAAACCACTCGCGTGCTGTCGTATCTCGACACCGCACTTTAATACCATAACATGTCATTCGCCCCGTTCCGACAAGCGCTCAACGCGCTTACCCCGGTAAACTGCGACGCAGTCTTCGTCCAGTCCGCTATAATAACCGTCATTGGTATCGCCTTACCGCGTCTTAACGTCCAGCACAGAGGTGAATGCTTCAGCATGATCGAGAACATGGTCACCGTGTTCGAGCTCCTGCAAGGTTCGACTAAGGTCTCCCATATCAGTCGACCGTGGCTAAGCCAGTATGTTTTCTAAATACGACTTCTGGATGATGGAACCTGGAGACTTAGATACCGAGAAGACTGTTGCAATCGAGAAACCAAGCCGGTTAAATACCCGCATTGCCGGTGCCGAGTAAAGTGGTGCTAATCGGGAGGCAATTGACCTGTTACGATCTTGTTTTGCTAAGTTTGCTCGTTCGTCTCACCCGGTGGCTATTCTTGCTTGGTTGGTCTATACTAAGAAGGAATTTATTGATGGGCTGCGGATGCGCCAGCCGTTTCCCTTATTGATTTTGATGCACTGGGGAGTGCTGTTGAATGAGCTGGGGTGTCATTTCTGGTGGGCGAAGGGGTGTGGTAGGGATTTGGTCACTGAGTTGTTAGCTGAGATTAAGAGCGAAGACCCAGTATGGAAACAGGCTTTGGAATGGCCACGGAAGATGATAGGGGTCTGAAGATTAACCAAAAGCCGTTTCTTATGAGAATGCATCGAGCATGGTGCGATGCTGTACAGGTCCGAATGTATTCATAAATGAGGGGATTATAATACATGATTAGACATTGGTGTGTTCTTTCCACTGGTCCCGCCAGGATTCGTTCAACAGGGCCAAGACTAGCCACATCGAATTTATCAAGGCACCAGTTACTGACGCTCAATCCACTTCTGGATCACTCCTGCAACCTGATCACTGTTCTTCTCCATGAAGACCATGTGACCGTTACCGTGGATGCCAATTTCACCCAACTGCAGATGCTCCGTGGACACGCCAGCCTGGCGCAAGAACTTGACAGTGCACCAGTCATAGGGAGCATGGTAAGAAGACTCGGTGGTCAAGATCATAGTAGGCACCTTTTGCAGGTTGACCAGCTTGCGAGGCTCCGGGTGCTCGGCCTGAATGACACAAGGGGACCGCGCAGTGGAGTTGCTGGGGATAACCTGGCGCACGAGGTCCTTCTTGGGGTCCGAAACGGCGGGCTCAAAAGTAAGGGGAATGTCTGTGAGGCCGTACGGACGTGAAGAGGTGTTGCTGAAGACAGCCTCCTGGAAAGGAGGGCCAGTGGGTTCCAGGGACACGATGGCGTGGACAAGGTCCGGGCGCACATCGGTGATGATCCATGGCATGAGACCTCCCTGCGAGTGGGAGAGCAGAACCACCGGGCGACCGATAAGGTCCAGCAATGCCGCACC